GGGGTTTAAAAGTGGAGAGAAAATGTTTTGAGAATGATTAGGGCAATGAATGTACAAATGCGCTTTACACAGTTGATGTGTATATGGAGTGTGATAAGAGTTGTATGAGCCCCTAATAAAAATGATTAAAAAAAAGAAAAAGAGGAAGGATTGATGGACTGACATCGTGGCTGCAAGAGTGGACTCCAGCATAGGAATCACTGTAGAGCTGGTGCAGGACTGTACAGTGTTTGTTCTGTTGTGCCTGAGATCACTGTGGACCAAAACCAACTTGATCATGTCTAACGACAACATAAGTGTTTCAAAGACTTAGTTTTATAAAAAGAGGAAAAGAAGACTATAAAAGCCACATTAATAGGGTTTTTTATCATGTTTAAATAAAACTTTCATATATTAATGTATATACTGGAAATTAAAAAATAAAAAAAACCATTTTAAATGCAAAAAAAATGTGAGAATGAAATCCTCTAGGCCATTAGTTACCCTTGTGTTATATAAAACAGCAAAAGCCTTAAAAAAAATAAAATGTTTCTGTAAAATACAACATCTGGCTTAATCTAAGCATTTTAAACTTTGTCTCATCTTAAGATCAACCTGTCAGTTACCCTCGTGTCTAAATGCCCCAGATGTCGGAGAGACCGGCGGCCATCAAGTCAGCGTCGGTCGTGGTGACCCCTGTGTGCGAGGGCAGATATGTATTCCATGGGCTTTCAATGGCTGCATTTTGGGGAAGTAGATTGACGTGCCTCTTTGCCAGGTTCTTCTGGGTGGATTCAAGTCAACTTCTCAGTTAGCAACTAAGCAAATTAACCATGTGTACCACCTAGCAACGCCCTGCCTAGTACGAAACCTAGGAAACATAAGTACTTATTTATGTCATTAAATTACTAACAGAGAGAAAATATGCAGACCCTCCAGCATTACACAGTATTAAGATACATTCTGAACTCCTAAATAGATTGTATCCACTAATCTCTCTTTATTCAGATGCATGCTTCCCACTCACCAGCCAAAGTCTCCATGACCCCCCCTTATCATACTCATGACAAGCTTTCCCTGTCAGGTTACAGCTCTTACACGTAGTCAGTTTTCTCTTCCTTAGTTGTTCCTAAGCTCACTGACCAGACATTTTGTTGAAGGAAATATCCTAAAACACTTAAGAAATAACTGACTGCTCAGGATAAAGGAGAGAGCATAGTAGCCAGAATTTTCATAAACTTCTTTGACCATTTACAACAATGACCATTCTCCTGAGGAGCAGCTGGTAGGTTAGAACTGCTAACCTTGCAGTCGGCAGCCCAACTCCTAATCCATTACACCACCAGGGCTCTCATCCTGTCTTAGGTGTCTATACATATTGAGTCTGCCCACATATAAGATTGTTGAGTCTTGTTTCCTACATATGAAGTTCTGGTCACGGTAAACAAATCACAAGCTGAGTTAAAGGGTTAAATTTAAAAGATTTAATAACTAAATGTCCTTATTTATTTACTTATATGACTATAGTATCCATGACACAAAATATTATGCCCTCATCGTCTACCTTACTATATACCGGTGATGGCTGCACAACCTGATTCATCTAACTGGTGTCTCTAAAACAGACAATAGAAAACTTAAATTAGTAAATGTATTATATTTTTCCACCAATTAAAAAAATATATTTTTTTTTTACCCTTTTCCTGAGAAAGTTTCTCCTCCTGGCGCTGGTGGTGAGGTTTATAAGGTGCTGCCCCCTGACAGAGTCCTTCAGCCACAAAGCCATCCAGAAAAGATAAGGATGCATCTACCTAGGTTAAAATGAAGCCAAACAAAAAAGGAATTTAAAAAATCGAAAACTCTACACAGTAGACTGTACCTTCACCTAATTATTCCAGCCTTTCTATTCTTAAAATTAAAAAATTAAGGGTAAAACAGAAGTTTCCATTCTAAAACTGCTGCCCAACTCTCCGGCTTTCTAAAATATAATCAAATTAACCTGCTAAGACTCTAAGCGTGTAAGTCATTTTCCGTTATTATTCTTGATATGTCACAAATCCAAGCATCACTTCACATTCAGAGACAATGAAATGTTCAAAGGACAGAACACGTCTTACCATCATGTCATCACAACTCTTACCAACCGGAAGCACACTCTTCATAAGGTCCACATTCTCCTGCAAATGTTTCAATTCAAAAGCCTGCTGTCTCAAACACGTATCCAAGGACGTGGTAAATTCTTGGATTAATTTCTCAACGGTGTGAGATGAATGTACTTGGGGTGTCAACTTGGTCACAGCGGCAATTAACCAGGCTTTTGTTTCTGCAGAAATGGAGTTATTCATAAGTAACTTGTACAGCTTGGAGATGACTTCGTCAGGTGTTTCCTTATCTAAAAGGTAGGAATACTCCCCCAACACCTACAAGCAAAGCAAAAAGAGATTTATACACAAAGAACAAATCATCCAGCAGACTATACCAAGCAAAGTGTGTGGCACAGAGTGAGTTTAATCATGATTAAATATCCTCTCATAGCAAAGAAAAATTTAAAGATACAATTATATATTTGAGGTTGAAATTTATAACAAGAACTGAAATGCTATACAAACAGGCTTCCCACATCTTAGTCGTTACCAATGCATAAAGCAGTATGCCTTTCTTCTGGCATTACAAAACTGGCTGTTGGTTTTCACTAACCAACGTTGTGATTATTTTCCAAAAAGCACACAAGTAAGTGGTTCTCCCATGCTAATCTGCATAAGAACTACCTGAGATGCTTTGTAAGAGTACGTATTTCTAGACTCAATCTCCAAGGGTTAATAGGTTGGGATCTAGGACATACATTTTGAACAAGCACCAGGTGATTCTGATGTAGATGGTCCACAAAACAGACTCTAAAGAATACTATGTTACAGGACTGCAAAGAGTTTACCAAAAAATGGGGGGGGGGAGGACACGGGGGGATGGATTTTGAAGCCTCCTTGTATATCACTTTTAAAAAATCTAACCTAGTCAGGTGACTAATTCAATCCTATAGAGCTAAGAATAATTAATAAACAGGTACTTAATGAGTGCCATATCTTTTTAAATAATATGAAGGAGCTTCAAAAAACTGGGAAAATGGAACTAAAAGAAATGTTCCACAAGCCTTTTGAGGTCTCCTGGTACCTATGGAATATTTTCATATTCCCAGTAGAATATAAGCACTAGTCTCATAGAATAAGTATGAGCCAGAAAACGGACTCGATGGCAGTTGGGTTTGGGTTTTTTTAACAGTGGCACAATCTGAAAAGAGAAAGAAAGGTGGGAGATGGGCACCACATGTGGCAGAGGGAAAGTCCTCAAGGAGATGGACTGACACAGTGGCTGCAATAATGGGCTCAAATATTGACACATTTTAAATTTATTCTAGTTTTTAATATTTTCTGCTTTCTTTTCAATTGAGGTTTCTCCCTGTTTTACTTTGTTGTTGTTGCTAGTTTTTCTGCTTTCTTTCTTTCTGTATGTTTTTCTGTATGTGAAATCCAAGATAGTAAACCTATAGAGAGAGTAACTAGATTAATGATTTCTTGGGAGTATGGTAGAGGAAGTTGGAGTAAAACGAGGAGCTATTAACAATGAGTGCGAAAGAGAAAAAATGTTCTAAAAGTGACTGTGGTTAATGATTGTACAACTCTTCTTGTTATGACTGCACTATTGAATTGTATTATATGTGAATTATGTGCCAATAAAATGGTTTTTAAAAATGAGCTCAACCTTATCAAAGGGTCTCAGGGAGGAGACGAATCAGTTGGGGTGCAATGTAGCGATGATGAAACATATAACTTTCCTCTAGTCCTTTAATGCTTCCTGCCCTCCCACTTTCATGATCCCAATTCTACCTTACAAATCCGGCTAGACCAGAGGATTTACACTGGTACAGATAGGAACTGGAAACACAGGGAATCCAGGGCAGATAAACCCCTCAGGACCAGTGTTGAGAGTAGCGATACTGGGAGGGTGGAGGGATGGTAGGATCAAAAGGGGGAACCGATTACACGGATCTAAATATAACCCCCTCCCTGGGGGACAGACAACAGAAAAGTGGGTGAAGAGAGACGTCAGACAGTGTAAGACATGACAAAGTAATTTATAAATTATCAAGGGTTCATGGTGGGGGGACGGGGAAGGATGGGAAAAATGAGGAGCTGATACCAAGGGCTCAAGCAGAGAGCAAATGTTTTGAAAATGATGATGGCAACAAATGTACAAATGTGTTTGACACAATGGAAGTATGTATGGATTGTGATAAGAGTGGCACGAGTCCCCAATAAAATGATTTTAAAAAAATGAGCTCCAATATATCAATAATTGTTGAGGATGGCACAGGACTGGGCAGTGTTTTGTTCTGTGGTACACAAGGTTGCCACAAGTCAGAACGGATTAGATTACACAGCACCTGTCCACACAGAAAAAAAACAGAGCTAAGTAAGTTCAATCCTTACATTGTAGGATAATTTCTAAAGTGGCATACTGAAAGATGGAAGGCAGGCCCAGAGAAAACAGGTAACCTAAATTGCAAGTTCAAAAGCCAAGAGACTTCTGCACCTAGGAAAATGGAACAGACGTACTTTCCCCTAACAAGCCCACATAGCAAAGAAAACTATTCCCAGCTGGTGGTGTTCCTGCCCATAAGTGAGTCACCGCTACACCACCCCCACCCCCACTTTGAGTGCTGGCAAACCTGTGACTTGCTTTTCGTTAGAACACACAAAAGGATGTGCCCAATTACGTAGATGATATTAAATGAAACTCTGACCTTTGTCTTGCAAAAACACTCTCCCTTGCTGGCTACAATGAAGCAAACAATCATGTTGGGAGAACATATGACAAGACACTGAGGGCGACCTGTGAGCAGAGGAAGCCTAAAGCTGAGCGCCAGCACATAACTCTCAGTACTACCTGTGCGAGGAATACGATTCCGCCAACAGTCACATGAGCCTACAAGCAGATCCTTCCCAAGCCAAGGTTCACAAGAAGCCACAGTTCCAGCCTGCATGTTCACTGCAGCCTTGTGAGACTCTAAGCAGAAAGCCCAGCTAAACCATGTCTGGATTCCTAATCCACAGAAACTGTGATAATTAAAGTGTGTTGTTTTAAACCATTAAGTTTGTGGAAAGTTAATGTGGAAACATAGCTATTGGAAAGTAACACAGCACAGATACCCAATATCTATTCAAATAAGGGTTCAACATAGAAAATACAATTAATGAATGTAAACCTAGACAGATACTAAATAAATACCAATTATATCTGAAAAGACTAGACAAGTCAGATACGAGAGTGAAAGAATAGATAATAGTTAAACGATAGAAGGTAGCCACTGGGAATGGAAACTGATAGCTAGCTTAAAGTTAACTGAGTATCAATGAATGATTTTGGAAGAAAATACATTCTTTTATTTTTAATTAAAAGATCATTTTATTGGGGGCGCTTGTAACTCTTATTACAATCCATACTTCAATTGTATCAGGCATATTTGTATATATGTTGCCATCAATCTTTTCTAGATGTTTACTTTCTATTGAGCCCCTAGTATCAGCTCCTTTTATTCCTTCCCTCCCCCACCCTGCGTGGCTCCTTGATAGATTATAAATTATTATTATTTTCGTATCTCACACTGACTGCCGTCTCCCTTCCCCCGTGGTTTCTGTTGTTCTTCCCCCTGGAGGGGGGTGTGGTTATGTGTCTGTCATTGCGATTGGTTCTCCCTCCCTCCGCTCCACTCCCCTCCCCTTCTGGTACTGCTATTCCCATTCCTGCTCCTGGATTCCGTGTGCGGTGAGCTCTTATCTCTTATGTATACCTGTGTACATGCTCCGATCTAGTCCAGAGTGAGAAGCAACATGGGGGTCATGAGAGTGGGGGGTGAGGAAGCCTCAGGGAACCAGAGGAATATTGTGTGTTCCATCAGTGCTTTACTGCACCCTGGTTGACTCATCCCTTCCCTGAGAGGGATGTCCCATTGTCTACAGATGGGCTCTGGGTCTCTGCTCTGACCCCCTCCTTCTCAACAATATGTTTTTGTTTGATTGTTTGTGGAAAAAAATATATCTTGCCAATATTTGTTTTCTATAAAAGTATTATAAAAAATGATTTAATGTACTTTGCTCACCCAACTCATAACTTGAAGAAATCTCTGTGGATAGAATGCATTTTCCACATCTAATAAAGTGAGGTAAGACTGAACGGCATACAGTCTTAGTTGGTGATCTTCTGCTTCATCATCAAAACCTGTAAAGAAATTAATAAAGCATTTGAATATCCAATAAGCTCCTAATTACTTTGCAATAAAAACATTTTATTTTAAAATCTTGCAGAATGCAATTGATTACCAACCTTCTGCGAGTAGCCTGAGAAAGTTATTGGGAATATCGGGATGCATGGCGTCCCCTCCCACTGAAAACACAGCATTCATTGTCTGGATAAACCACGCATTGTCAGGAGCATATGTGCCCGGTGTCAAGAACAAGTACATTTCCACACACCACTTCTTAAAATTATCCTTTCGGCAGAAACTTTTACAAAAAGAACCCCGACTCATCCTTGAGAAGCATTTTCACATTTAACTTCTGGCAATGATTCTTACATGTGCCAGTTTACCCCAGAAGCCTGTTTCATTAAACTTAATAAATTGAGTTCATATACCTAATCTGGAACATGACAGACTTTTAATAAACAAATAACGGAAAACTAGAAACCTGAGAGAGGACACATGCTGTGACGTGTCTAGGGCACAGGTTCTCAACCTTCCTAGTGCAGTTTCATACGGTTCCTCATGTTGTGGTGACCCCCAACAATAACATCATTTTTGCTGCTATTTCGTAACTGTAATTTTGCTACTGTTATGAATTGGGCGACCTCTGTGAAAGGGTCATTTGACCCCCAAAGGGGTTGCAACCCACGGGTTGAGAACTGCTAGTCTAAGTGAACATGTTGTCTAACCTCTTTTCTAATCTGTTCCTCTTATGTTCTAAAATTTTATGATTCTATTGCCAGAGCTCTAACTCTGGTGAGGACAAAACTATAACTCTGGTGAGGACAAAACTATACCTAAATAATCTGCAGGATAATTAACACGATTCACTACTTTCTTTCTTAGATTTAAATCATGGGCATCTTTAAAAGAATGGGACAGCCTTCTAAGTGAGTCAAGTTCTCGGCGAGACTGACTTTTAAGAAATAAGTGTGAAAGCAAGCAACTGTGAGTGGTGCCCCGCTGCTTCACTGTGCAGTTTTCCAGCTTCAATGACGGTGGATCCACTCTGGTCATCCCAACCACAAAACAAAATTAACGTTTAACTGGAAAGAAAACGGAGGAAGAACTGAAGTCAAAAAGGAGAGGGTGTGGAAGAGGACCCAGATCCATGGCTCTTTTCTCTTCCTGCTCGTAACAATGACAAGTGAATAAAAGCAAGCAGGAGCGGAAGGGCAGGCCATCCCCTAATAAATCTGCACAAATTCCTGTTTCAGACAAGAGAAAACTGACACCAGGAAGGAGTATTCATGGAAGGCTTCTCAACTCAACTAAGTCACGGGGTAAACGAAACATAAAGTTTATGATTCATGGCCCCCCCAAAAAGGATATTTCTCAGCCAGTTCCGCAATTTTCCCAACCAAATTGACGATGATGTACTCTTCTTTGCTCTGATGTAAATATTCAAGCATTTTCTGGACAATAACTGTTACATTCTGTGCATTAGTAATTCTGTTAAGAAGTTCCAGCGTCTATTTAAGGAAAAATAAATGAAACCATATTATAAAGCTAATTATAGTAACACCAAAAAACACAATAGCATAGGTTTATAAGTGATTCTTACACTTTAATGAAGCTCTACTTAGCAGTCATTAAAGAGTTTTCAAGAAATGCAGATTTTAGTACTAACAAAATTTAAGGTAAAATTATCATAAAAATTATGAATTATGATAAATTCCAAAACCTGCAAGTCTTGAAGTTTTTACATGATATGTATCATAAACACTACCAAGTTAAAAGGTTATTTCCTTAAAATATAACAGCCTCTTCAACCTATTTTGCTGGCTGTGTGTTTTTGTGTGCATCCGTACGCTCCAATGGGTGGGCCCACACATGGGTGCGGCACATGTGCATATACAAAATCCCCACTCTCTCAGCAACAGAAAACAGCACTTGAGTGGGTTTAACTCTCATTTGATAACATGTTCAGTTAAGGGTGAATGGCTTCTACATGGCACAGGCTAGTGGCTCAAGCACTTCAAGTATTTCTTTCCAGTCTCGGATATCATGGAATAACTATTTCACAGTTACTTTATGGTGTTGAAGGAACCTGGTGGCACTGTCAGGTAAGCAGTGAACTGCAAACTGCAAAGTCAATGGTTCCAACCCACCACCTGCTCCTGGGGGGAAATATGAGGCTGTCTGCATGGAGTGTGGAGCTGGGAATTGCATCGCTAGAAGTTTTATCTCTTCAGCCTTAAGTATTGCCTTCTCGCCTTATCTTCTCCAGTAGGAAAGAGAGGTGGAATGACCAGGTAAAAGAAAACTCCTAATCCTAAGCAACAGGCAGGACCAACATCCCTGACACGTTATTACTAGTGGAGGCTAGAAATGACAATAGTATTGAGGAGACAACATTACAGTACTTTCTTCCCCAAGGAATTCAAGCTACGTTCCTTGTGGCTGGAAAGAGACCAAACAGATCAGATGGACAATCTTAATGGTTTTCCCCTTGCGTCTCCTTTCTAAATGAAAGAGCAATAATTAAAAGCTACAAAACAACCCTATATTTAAATCATATCCTGTTCAATTTAGCAGTCAATTATGGAAAAATCTGTATGTTCTATATCTGACCTCTTATCTCTGTCTAAAGTAGAAGGGTTGTATATTTATTCTGTAAAACATACACACAGAAATCCATTAGTACATTTACAAATTTCTCACTTTAAAAAGTACTTTTTAAAATTCAAGATTGGTCATCTTTTTAAAATTATAATTTTTAATGGAAATCAGTAGTTTCTTAATAAACTACTAATTCATTACTTTTAAAATAGTTTTGATTGGTAGTTTTTAATTTATCTTTATTATTTATAAAAACAAAATTTTTCGCTCTTCTTAGGTCCTATAAACGATCTTAAATGGTGATAAGAGAATCTCTGTATATTAATAGAAATTTATTATATAGATATGAGAATAGAATTATCTATATAAACAGTCAAGTAAACACTGAAGCAAAAATCATCTTATCTAAATAGTTGAAAAACAAATTAAGTAAATTATATACCTTTCCTTTCAAAATGTTCCAATCATATTGCTTCAATATTCCGATACCTTTAATTTTATACATTAAGAAAATGGGTGAATATTGATCTGAAATTGCATCATAGATTATACAATAACAGGAGTACATCTTAAATTGTACAAATAGGGAGACCTGGGACTAGAATTCAGGTTTCCTATTAGCACAATACTTAGACCAAAAAGCTAGTGATAAATGCACCCATGTATCTGGACCTCAGCTCTTCAATTCACCTTTTAAGAACATTCCTTTGGGTACACACAGAATTAATTGTTTAGAAAGTTCCTTAAACTTTAGTAGGAAGAACAAAATGTATTCACAAATTAAAATACATGAACACCCAGGTACACACACTGCCCAGCACATGGAAACTCTTTTCATAACACCAGAGAGTCACTTAAAGCTTGTACCACTTTGTGTACACTATTCAGAATACCAGTTTACCTCTCTCTTAATAATGGGATCAGAATGGTCTAAGCATTCAATTATTGTCATCTGGTGTTGAAGAGCCAGGCTCGGATCCTGTTGGATAACATAGGTAAGAGCCTTCAGTCCTATAAACAAAGATTGTATTACACAGAGTGACTTGAAACAAAGGAACCAACAAATTTGAAAATCTCTCTTTGTACATTATGTTCAAATAGCCAATCGTCTTACCTAGATATTTGAGATTTATTTTAGGTGACAGAACAAATTTCCCAATGCACTTGGCAGCCTTCTCAAGTAATTCTGATTTAGGATAAATAGAGTAGACTGTATGTACACATTCAAACAGAATAGCTAGAGAAAGAAAATATAAAAATAGCAGGCATTGTGTTAAGGCACAATTAAAAAACAAATTTATGTAGAACTCATAATAAAACAAACTGTAATTAGAAGCCCTGCTTTAATTAAAAACAAAACAAAACTTAGTTACAGAAAATTATGTTTTCTGCCCTATATAATTATTAGGATTAGGTTAACATAATTTAAAGAGAATTATATTCACTAGCACAGATGAATGATACATTCATCCATGCCATGAAGTATTTACTAATCATCTCCTATATGCCAGGCATTGTTGTAGGACTGAATACAGCAGTGAACAAAACAAACAAAATCCCTGCTCTCAGTAGCTAACATTTTAAAAGACCCAGAAATAGAATACTCACTTGTTCCCATGTAAATCGATCGTTCTAATACTGCTTAAATATTTAAGAATAGTTTATCTTCAAGCAGTTTCCAGAATTTATACAAACATTGATATACCGTAAACTGTTTCAATGAGGATGTCCTAACACTTATTTCAAAGACCGGATCACTACTCAAACAACTTCAACTTATTTCTCTAGCACAATGGTTCATAGAACAATCTACTGAACACCTTGTAAGGTGCCAGCAAGTCAATTTCAACTCCTGCCAAGCTATGTGCGCAAAGTGGAGCTGCTCATGGGGTTTCCACGCCTACAACCTTTCAGAAGCAGAACACCAGGCCCATCTGTCTTCCAAGGCTCCTCTGGATGGGTTTGACCAACCGACCTTTCAACTACATTGACATTTGTGCCACCGCTGGCCTCGAAGGGAGTCCGCCTGAGTTAAATTACTAGTTCAAATATTGCACTCACTATTAAACTCAGTAAGTGTAATGAACTGAAAATGAATGTAATAAACTTTCATATTAATTTTCCACTTAGAACTGCGTAAGTCCCTTTACTCTTCAACACTATAAAAATGCATGTCATTCCTTAACTTCAACAGCAGCCAAGTGGTAATGTTTAAAATATAAGTATTGTTGACAATTTCTAAACTTAAAAGTGCAATACAGAGTTTTGTTCATGTTTCAGTTATCAACCCAAATTCTAATCGTAATGTCACCATATCCTGAGGACACAGCGCTCCCACCAGACCTTTGACACCCGGGATTCAGAGAGGTCCCAGCTCTGGGAAAAGTTCTCAAGTCTGGGCTTGCAGACCCTTTCCTGTCCCTTAGCCCCTCACACATGCACATACGCACGTGCACACACACACACACACGTCACCATGTAAAAATTATTAAACTACAAATTGGTGACCCTATGACTTTTATCATAAACATTTTGGGTTAGATTATATTCAATCAAAATTTAATGAAGTTCTCGTATTTTCTTTCAGTCAGGATTTACTTTCATTTTAAATAGACAAAAGATTCCATATCTACTTTTTTTTTAAGTCCACGTCTTGTTATTTTTTAAGAATTAAATTCCCAAACTAGCTAGTATGCAAAAGCAAGCTTCTCCACATTTGCCCCAGAATTTAATATTGTCACTACAGTATTTTGAAAAGACAGTCTGATTTGTGTTTTCCTAAATGTGGACAGTGAATATTTTTGCACATGTCTGACCTCTGCAGGGGTATGTCTCTTCATGTTTTTGTTCAGTTTCCAACTGGACAGTTTTATTATCATTGAGTTTTGAGAATTTTCAGTATATTCTGGAAATGAGTTCTCTTTGATATCTGTTGAGCCCATCCATTGAGTTTTCTATTTTAATACTATATTTTTGTGGGGGAAAAATTCCATTTGATTTACTATTTTTATGTAATTATCTTTAATATTCACATTTAAATGTCTTTAAAGATTATCTTTATATTTCCTTGCTTAAACTTTGTTTCCATTTGTTTTAAGCATGTTCATAATTGCTCTGTGAAGCATTTTTATGACTGTTTTGAAATCCCAGTCAAATAATTCTAACTTCTGTCATCTCAATGTTGGCACCTATTGTCTTATTCAGTTTGAAATCTTCTGGTTCTTGATATTATGATTTTATATTTAAATGTGGCAGGCATTAGATTCGAGACCATATTTAAACTTTGTTTTAGCAGGCCTCCACGTGGAGATAGGTTGAAGCAGGTAACGGGGTACAGCCTTACTGCTACTAGATTGAAATGGAAGCTCAGGTCTTCTTCTCAGTCTCCTTTGACACCTGGGGTTGCTGTTATTGTGATTGCAGTGCCTTTGTTGGGCAGTACATGTTGAGTCCCTGGAGGACAATTCCTTCCTAGGAAAGGGAGGGGCACTTTGTTACTGCTCCCATGGCTTCCGCCAACATTTGAGGAAGTGGCCTCACTACTGCTGAAATGTGAGGTCATTACTCTCCAGTAGGCTTCCTCTGACCCTTGCATTATCCATAGTTACAGGGAAAATATGACATTCTGGCTTTCCACATGGCACAGGAGGCCTTTTGCTGCCCAGTGGGGCTGAGAGTCTTGGCTTCCACATGGTCTTTTCTAATAACATAGTAGTGGGTTTGGACTACCTCATTACAGTCTGGTGAGGGTGGAAGTCTTGGCTCTCTACTTGAACTATGTGGCAAGAGTGGGGCCACAGCTGTTTCCGTGTGATGCTTGAAAGGAACTATTGGATTTGTCTGTTTGCCGTCTTGCTATTTGGCCTCTTTCTTCGTGATATTAAGACTAGATTGTTCTTAGATGCTGTTGAGTTAGTTCCAATGTATAGCTAGCTACCCTACTAAAACACTGTCCAGACCTGCTCCACCCTCATAATTGTTACAGTTAAGCCTACTGTTGCAGCCACGATGTGAATTCATCACCTTGAGGGTCTACAGCTTTTTTGATGACCCTCAACTTGACCATGCATGATGTCCTCCTGGGACCAGTCCTCTCCTGGTAACATCTCCAAAGTACATGAGATGAAGTCTTACCATCCTGGCTTCTAAGGAGAGTTCTAGCTGTAATTCTCCCCAAACAGATTTGTTTGTTCTTTTGGAAGCCCATGGTTGTGTTAGGTTATGTTCTCTAGAAAAGTAAAACTAGTGAATTGAAAGCCCAGTCTTTTTCCCTTGGAGCAGCTAGTGGTTTCAAACTGCTGACCTTGCAGTTAGTAGTCCAATGACTAACCACTAGGCCACCAGTGCTCACAAAAGTGAAACTAGTAAAGCACGTGCGCACACACAAAAGAAATAAGCCCAATGTGGCTCAAGTCTATGAGTCATATGCTAACCGGAAGGCCCTTCCCAATTCATGCAGCTATCGGTGCCAACAAACCAGGAAGCAGCAAGATGAATCAGGAAGCAGGTTGGTGGGGGCCGAGTCTAATGAGTACAAAGTCAGCAGGCTACAAGGCAGGTGACTGGCCCAAGTCCTAAAAAACCAGATGTATGATCCTGGCCAACAGGCAGGGAAAAGTATTCTCCACAGTGTCTACTGGGGGCTGGGGGTGAGGTGGTGGTGGTGGTGGTGGTGGTGGGTGTACATATATATGACAACTATTAAAAGTTACAACCCCCAAAGAGACGTCACCGGGCTGTGACTTTAGTATGGGTGCACTGCACCCTGATCCCCCCTAACAGCTGGGCTGACTGCAGCAACCCCATCATGGAGTTGGTGCCTTACACTAGACAGAGGTCACATCATCGGGGAAGCCTCGATGCCAAGCTTTGAGAGTCCTGGCTCAGCCAGGTTGATACACAACCTATCACAATGATACTTTCAATATTCTTCTCCGAGACCATAATTCAAATGCACCAATTCTCTGATCTTCCTTATTCATTTTCCAGCTTTCAAATACGTATGAAGTGACTGAAATTGCCATTGCATAGGTCAGAAGCAACTTATAAGGTCCTCAAAATGACATCTTTATTCTTTAATACTTTAAAGAGGTCTCGTGCAAACTTTTCCAGGTAATATAGTGTTTGGTTTCCTGACTGTTTCTGTGAGTGGTGATTGTAGAGCCAAGTAAAATGAAATCCTTAACAATTTAAACCTTTCTGCATATCATGCTATTGTCTATTGGTCCAATTGTGAGGATTTCTGCTTCTTTTTCACCGAGTTGCAATCTATACTGGAGGCTATGGTCAACGATCTTTATCAGCAAGTACTTCAAGTTCTCTTCACTTTCAACAAGATGTGTCATCTGCATATCACAGATGGTTAATGCATCTTCCCCAATCTTGATGCTGCATTCTTCTTCCTATAGTGCACCTTCTCAAATATCTGCTCAGCATACACACTGAATAAGTATGTTGAAAGGATACAACCTCAACACACACTTTCCCAAGTTTTAAACCTTGCATTAGCCCCTATTCTGTTTCAACTACCTCTTTGTCTATGTACAGGTTTTGCATGAGCACAATTATGGTTCTGGGACTTCCATTATTCACAATGTTATCAATACTTTGTTATTATCCACACATTGCAGTCAAGAAAACATTAAATAAACATCTTTTAGGTATTCTCATTTTCAGCCAAGATCAATCTGATATTCCTTTCCACATCATAGTCTGAATCTAGCTTGAATTTTAATGGCTCCCTGTCAAGTTAGTGCTGCATCCATTTTTAAATTATCTTCAGTAAAATTTTACTTACATGTGATATTAATGATATTGTTAGATAACATCTACATTCAGGTTATCTTTCTTTGGAAAGGATGCAAACATAGATGTCTTTCAATCAGTTGGCCAGGTAACTGTCTCCCTAATTTCTTGGCATAGACTAGTGTTTCTAGGATCATATCAGTTTGTTGGAACATTTCAAGTGTTATTCCATCAATTCCTAGAGCCTGTTTTTCACTAAGACCTTTAGTGCAGCTTGGACTTCTTCCTTCAAAACCATCTATTCTTGATTATACACTATCTCTTGAACTAGTTGATGTTGATTTTTTTTGTACAATGACTGGTGTACTATTTCCATTTTCTTGTGATGCATCCTGCCTGATTCAATATTTTGCCCGACTTGGGACTTGGTTTGTTTCCTTCTTCAGTCCTCTCAGCTTGAGATACACTGAGCATGCTATTCCCGTTTGGCTT